TTTTTATTTTTTTAAAATTCTTAACCTCCGTTCTTAAAGGGAATTTAAAAAATCCTTAATTTTATTAAGATAAGAAATTGCCTTTCCAGGCTATTTTACGGTTTTCATCCACCCTTCGAAGTTGGAACCCTAATTAGCAATTTTTCAAAAAATAGACACTAGAAATGCTAGCAGTTAGAACCCTAAGGAGAAAGCCTACAATATCCCAAGTATAACATGTGGGATGTATCCCGAACCAATAACATTTTGACACATTTTAGATACTGGGGTCATAAAACATCAAAAACTAACACCGTTTCTTTGCCCTCCTTTTTCCTCTCTTTGGGCCGTTTCTACTTCTTCCTCTCTATTTATTATTATTATTATTTTTTTGCTGCATTTACCTGCTACTAGGTTTAGCAAACAAACAGGTTAGGTCGGGTTTTGATTGGATCAACTTGGATGACGAGTTATACGAGTTGAGTCATACCCTATGTTTAGCAACATGGAAGCATGTCGCTGAAAGTGCTTCTCATGTGGCTAAAAGCCCTTCAGCAACATGGCTTTGGTTACTAAAAGTTTTGTTGGAGAAGGTTTGGTTAGTAATGTATTACCAACCAAAATTTTGTTGCTGATGTATCAGCGATGTTGCTGAAAATATAGTATTAGCAATGTAGCTTATATTGCTGAAAACATTCACCGAAATTCGGTGGGAGTAAAGGTGAAGTTTCTCACCCTCTTCAGCAACATAAGCCATGTTGCTAAAGTTTAGTAGTAAACTACCAAAAAATTAGTGGTAAACCGGTGACCGAAACTTGGCCCCATTTCCAGCAATATGACTTATGTTGCTTAAATCAGATTTTCAGCAACATGACTTGTGTTGCTAAAAGTTAAGAGGGGAGTGTAGTCTCTCATTTTTCAACAACATATGCTTTGATGCTGATTATAGGTGTACTATGAGCAACATAGTTCTTATTGCTGATAGTGAGCTGAATAGTAAACCACCATATTTTCAGCAACATAACTCTTGTTGATGATGTTTCAAAATGTTTTATAAAAAAAATTATACCTACTAATATTCTAAACACATATTTTTTATTTTCACTTATATGATAATTAATATATTACATTAAATTTATATTATAATTATTAAATTTAACAATGTTATAATGTTTAAATATGAAATTCACCTTTTTTTTATAATCAGCAAATATTAAATTACTTGATATCTCACATACAATATAATTAATTATACCTACAAAAAATAATTATAACTAAATAATAAATATTTATTAATTATATACCATTTATAAAATTTAGCTTAATAAATTTAAATTAAATAACTCAAGTTAATTAAATTTTGGTTAGGTATCTTACCAAACTTGAATTTTTTACTTTATTAAGAATTACCTACAAAACAAACAAAATAACAAAATTGTTAATTACTATATGTAATTATTTATAAATATATTAACTTTCAAATAAATTGATACCTACTTAATAATGTAATATTTACAAAAATATTTCATATAATATGCTTGAAGGGAATTGAAGTAATTGATGAAATTTGTTTAATTATTGATATATATATATATATATATATGAGAGAATTTAATGATAACAAAGAACAAGTAAAATAAACAAATTATAGAATGGATAAAAATGAGTGATCAGATATGGAGGACATGTGGTAATAGAAAAAAGAAAAAAAAAAAAGAGAGAAAAAAAAAGGAGAGGCTGAGAGATGTGGAGGACAGGTGGAGAGAATGGTGCGGGCGTAGGAGAATGGGATGGCAGAATGAGAAGAATCGAAGAACATGGAGGGATGGCTCAGCATGGGGGTATATATAGAACTTTCAGCAACATAAATCATGTTGTTGAAAGTTTACCATCCTATCACCAACATATTTCATATTGTTAAAACTTATTTGAATTTCAAATTTCATTACTCATTACCGACGTACACCATGTTGCTAAAACTTAAAATAGCTATTCTCCCACCATATTACTTAATAAATAAAATTATTATATTTTAATTAATTCTTAATCTTAAAAAATTCATTTTTATATCTAAAATTTAATTTATTAGTTGATTTTGTTTAATCTATTAAACTTTATTTAACACCTAACACATTAATTAATACAATTATATTATTTATTAACATATCTAAATAATTTAAAACTCTATTTTGTCTAAAAAAATATGTGAACACACATACAAGGCTACATAAATATTTTACATAAAATTATAGTAATTTTTTGATCAATAGTTGACTTTTTAAATTAAGAGCCAACTCTTTTCTACTAAGAGTCGACTCTTAATAAAGAAAATCGACTATATCTAGCATTCAGAATGTTCTCAACTCTCTAAAATTTTGGAATCGAATATTGACCTTTCATAGTCGACTCTTAAAGGCTTGAGAGTCGAATCTAACTTCTTAGATTCGACTCTTTACTATTCAAAATTTTAAATTCAAAATACTAGGTGGCAATTCTAAAATCATTTTGTTGATGAGGTGGACAATCTCTTTATGTCCACGTCATATTTTTAAGTAAATCCCTTTTTTTATAAATTTTAATATATTAATTAATGAATTAAATTAAATATACTATAACTAATTATTTTGGTAAGTTCCCTAACTCCCAAAATCTTAACTTAATTATTTTGTTTAATGTGTAATTATCTTATACTTAATTACAATAAATAGTGGGTCCCACAATTAATTAATCTTCTCCCCTCTCCTTCTTCTTCTCCTTCTGCTGTGTCCCTTTCTCTCCTCCCTTCCTCCTCCAGTGTACCTTCCCTATTTTTCTAGTGTTATCACACTAAAACCCATTTAAATTTATCAAAGAACAAACCAAAAATTAATACCGAAGAAAGCAAAGATACTTATTCCTATTTAAGAAAGCAAACCCAATTGCTATATATCTGGGTTTTGAAATCAATAAAAACAAATGCATTTACAATTGCCACTGTTCATCTTCTCCAGCTCCAACCTTCCCCTTCCAATTCCATTTATATGCAAAATCCTTAAGATTCTTTCATTAATTTTAGAACAACTCATATAATGAAATGAATTAGTCATAAACTAAGTTAAATAAGCCAAAAAATTAAAATTAAAAATAAAAATAAAAACTTCTGTTGGGTTCTCGAACCCAGCAAAAGTTGAAAGGGAAGAGGAAAGGGAAGAGGAAAGGAAAGAGGAAAGAGAGAAAAAGAGAGAGAAAAAAAAAAACCCAATAGCTCTGCTGGGTTTGTAGAAGTTGAAGAAAGGGCGGAGGAACAAGAAAGAGAAAGAGGAAAGGGAGGAAAAAAAAAGTGTAAATGTGCTATGTGCACTGTGTGATGGCTGGAATATTTGAGCAACATGGGGTATGTTGCTGAAATTCACTTTCAGCAACGTACCCTTTGTTGCGGAAAGTGGAATAGTTTTTTAGATAAAAAATGTACTGTATAACTTTCAGCAATGTAATCTTTATTGGTGAAAATTTATATCACCGACAAAACCATCCATATTGCTGATACTTTGTTGCTAAAAATAAGAATATTAGTAGTGACGGGTTATGGTTTGGAAAAATCCAACCTTAACCTGACCTTAGCGGGTTACGGGTTAACCCATAAATTGATTTTATTTTTATTCTTAATAATCATTTTTATTAATTTTATTATATACAAATAAAATTATATATATCTAAATCTAATTAAAGTATTGTAACTCATTAACACTAAATACTTTAAAACCTCAACTACAAACATTTAAATTAAGAAAAAATCATTAAATTATAAATAATAGCAAGCTGATTAATAATATTAAACTTAAAATAATTTAATTTTCTTAGAAAATAAAATTTTAATTTTATAATCATCTTGAAACATTATTAAGGAATTTAAGCCTTTTTTTATGATGAAATTGTTTTTCCAAGAACATCTTTAGTTAAATTATTATGTTTATATCCTAGTATCATATCTTTAATATTTTTAGTTGCATTATCATTTAATTCATGATATTTGGTAATTATATCAAACACATATAATTTATAAAGAAAGAAAAAGAAATTATGATGAGTAAACACTCAAAATAAGTTCAAAATCATATGAGGAATGGAAATGAGGTTAAAGAGTATGAATTAATTAAGAGAGTTAGAATTAATTAAGAGAGTTACTAATAGAAAAATTAATTAAGAATAATAAATATAATATTTTTTAAAAAATCATAATAAATAAAACAAATGAGTCAACTCATCAACTCATGAGTTAACTCTAATTCGACCAATGATCTATGTAAATTGATATTATAGATTATCTATAAGTTATAAATTGAGATATATAGATTTTAACTCATTTTTATGAGTTGGGTTAAGATCAAGTTAACAGATGGGTTGGATTTTGTCCCGCTACCTGCTACTCTTAAAAGTTGAATAACCATTTCTTTTTCTTTGTGTAGTTCCAATAAAATGATTTATGAGATTCTTTTCATCTTTTTATATTCATTATTTTTTTTTTTCTGTAGATATTTTATCATCATCTTTTTCTCTTAGATACTATTGTCATCAGTTAACAAAAGAAATTCAGGAAGAAATTCAATTGGGGAATATGAAGGAAAGCTGAGACTTTGGAGGTACATTATCAAAAATCATGAATTTAAATGCTTTGGCGATCTCTAAAACAAGTTTTTATGTGCTCACAGTGCCTTTGAACACGAGACCATGGCGGCTGTCATCTACCTCTTTCATCTCTTCGCCAAAACCCATCCATTTTTGCTTTTCCCCAAATTCCACAGTCGATATTGATTCCAATCATCACAAGAAGGTGTTTTAAGAGCAATCCCTCTTGTATCCTTGAGAGAATAAAAGAGTGGAGAATGAAAAGGAAAAGGAAACGGCCCAAAGAAAGGAAGCGGGAATTGAAGGCAAAAAAACGGTGTTAGTTTTTGGTCTTTTACGACCCACAATCTAAAACGTTTCAAAATATTATTGGTTCGGGGTACATCCCACGTGATATACCAGGGGCATTGTAGACTTTCTCGAACCGAACCCTAAGATAAGAAATTGCCTTTTCAGGCCACTTTACGTTGTTCCTTTCCCGATCTCTAAACGCTTCTTCAGTTCATCTCCCAACAGCTTCACCCAACTCACATGGAATCTCCGGCCAAATCGTCCACCTGCCATTTGCTGGCTCTACCCTATCCTGGCAGAGGTCACATTAACCCCATGATGAACCTCTGCAAGCTACTCTGTTCCAAGAAATCCGACCTCGTCATAACCTTCGTGGTCACTCAAGAGTGGTACGGCTTCATTGGCTCCGACAGCAAACCGGCCAACGTCCGTTTCTGCACGCTTCCAAATGTAATCCCATCCGAACTTGCTCGAGCCAAGGACTTTCCCGCTTTCTTCGAAGCAGTGTTTACCAGGATGGAAGCGCCGTTTGAGCAGCTCCTTGATCGGCTCCAGTTACCGGTCACCGTCTTACTAATTGATACTTACATGGGTTGGGCTGTTCGAGTAGGGAATCGGAGGAATATTCCGGTGGCTTCGCTTTGGACCATGTCGGCGTCGGTGCTGTCGGTTCTTCACCACTTCGATCTTCTCGTGAAGAATCAGCATTTTCCGGTTAATCTATCAGGTACCCAGTAGCTTTTTTTGAGGACAAATTAAGATGCCCCTTATCTCTGTTTGGCTTGGGTTAGTTTGCTAACAATTTGTGAAAATACCTGGATGAAAGATTAGTGCTAATGCTAGAGTAATATTTCAAACAGATGCATTTTTTCTAACTGCTATTATCATCATTTTATTTTAATTTGTACTAATGCAAGTGTGTTTGCAAAATGATAGGTACTCTCCACTTTTTGAAATATTTTTTTCACATCCAAATCATTTAATCATTTAAAATATAATACAAGTATAATTATTTAAAATATAATATAATATTTCAAAATGGAATATGCAGTGATTACTGTCGGTTTTGTGTAAATGTTATTCCAACCAAACCAAGGTTTACAACTTAGAGAATATTAATCAATCTGAATTGCTTTCTATTTCATCTTTGATTTGGGCATGTTAGAGCATGGTGACGAGATTGTGGACTACATCCCTGGACTTCCTTCTATCACTTTAGCAAATCTGCCAACAATTCTCCATGGAACCGGCCACCAGACCTTGCCCCGAGCTCTGGAAGCTATTTCGTTGATTCCCAAATCTCAATATCTTCTCTTCACTTCTGTCTACGAGCTTGAATCCCGAGTTATTGACGTTTTGAAGGCAGAATTTACTTTCCCTGTCTATGCAATTGGACCCAGTATACCTTTCTTCACATTGAAAGATAATTCCCCAACTTCCAACTACCTACAGTGGCTGGATTCCCAGCCTAAAGCTTCAGTCTTGTACATATCTTTGGGAAGTTTTCTATCAGTTTCAGCTGCACA